GCCAGCCTTTCCACTGCATCCGGGGTTTCAATTTAGGTCCTCATGCTTTTGTGGCAAGTATGTTACTGGGTGAGCTCTTAGCCTGAGGCTGGATTCTTTTAGTGGAAATAATATTTCAAGAGTATAGTTCATATGCTAGGGAATGCATGTATTAAATTACTAGAGTGGTTATTGTTTTTACACTTTTTTTGTGAGCGGGGCTGCTAATTATGAAGGCTTGTGTACGTATGTGTATGCTTTCCATAAGAGGTACTTTCACATACAGTTAGGTTTTTTAGACAGGATCCATCTTTGTAGCCTAGGCAGGCTCTGAACTCTTGATCCTTTTGCTTTTGACTCTTGTCACTAGGCATCAGACACCTGTGTCTAGTTCAAGTACAGCATTTTAGAGTGTACCTCTCACTTCTTCCTCCCTTTCACATTTGTGAATTTAAGGAACAAAGGAATAATAGATTAAAGATGTTACCTAATTAGAGCAGTCCTCTGTTAAACCAGGGGAGTCATTCCAAGATCCCAGTGGATCTGGAAACCATGGCTGGTATGGTGCCTATACACACTGCTGAGCAGTGCATATAATATGGACCCTACTTTAGTTTATAAGGTGAGTGGAGTAAGAGTATCAGTAACGAAGATCCAAGCAGTCAGCAGAGTGTCCGATAAGTGAGGTGCCTGTGGTTTCCATATCTCCAGACATTTGTGTCCTGTACTCACTGTTCTTGTGAGATGGGAACGTTGCCTCCTTAATGAGATAAATGAGGTGAATGACCGAGCGTTGGGAGGTAGTGGAGAGCTCTAGACTGTGCCATTTAAACCCAATCACTGATAGCACAGTCACTTTGGAAACTGAGATGGCTCCTATAACTACGGAAGGGCAGCTTATATAGTGGGGATGCACTAGGCAAAGGGATGCCCACACAAAGGGCTGGGCAGTGATGGCTCTGGCTGCATCCAGTACTCAGAACGGCACACAGTATTAGACTTTGTGAATTGTTTCTGGAATATCGCATTTAGAATTTTTGGACCTTGTTTGACCATGGATAACATGGATAATCTGTGGAAGAATTAGCGAGAGAGATTCTTGTTGTCCTGTGTGCCATTCCACATTTATACATGGTATTTGTGGTTTAACAGAACCACCACACCCAGCTGGCACGTCTATTTTATTTTGAAATAGCCATAGCTGGTTTTTTGGGGGTGGGTTGGGGTAAGGAAATGTTTTTCTGAAGGTGTGTGTGTGTGTGTGTGTGTGTGTGTGTGTGTGTGTGTGTGTGTTGT